AAAAAAATAACTGTAGTAAGAAAAACAAATGAAAAATGCGAACTAATGTAACGTCGTATGGTGAGTTTTTGTTCGTATCGTGGAGCAAAAATATGTTCGAATTTCATGTCGTATCCTGAAAATTTCGTATGCTGGGGCGTTCGTAACCTGAGGTACCACTGTACATGAAAGTCAGAGGGAACAAGCTCAGGACTGAATGGGGATGCTGTTAACATCTGAAATTTCAATTTCTGAATGGTGTCACGAGTTGCAGCAACCATGTGAACCATAACTTGTGATACTTGAGAACTTCCATGACAATATTATGTGAGGATCAGATACTGACATCCAATTCCCTGGCTGAAACTTTTAAAGAAATGCACCTGTTTTCATGAAAGTCATCAGTGTGACCACCTTCTCATCAGTGATAGCCATATTGGAGCAATTGGAGGATCCTCATCACAGATTGATGTTTGCCATTTTTAATCATGTTTACCCATTTGTACATTCTTCTCTCACAATACTACTGTAGCATTTGTCTGTGAATTTCACAAGATTTCATACCCTCTGACTTCAACAAAATCTGATGATAGCTGTTTGCACCATAAAAAAGTAGCAAGCAAAGACCACATTTCAGTCTTTCACAGTAACATATAATTATATATTAATTATATATGTACTGTACCTAATTTATATATAATACTGTACAGACGATAGCAAACTCAATTTAGCTGCCTAATCTCTCCGTAGCGTGGCACACGAACGGTGGAAAGTAGTTCGGCTGCTCATCCACTATTGGTCCAGATTCTATCAATCTTGTCGCGTCATGAGGCAGCTACAACGTTTTAGGAGTTCCTTTATACGAATTTTGCTACAATTTTTTCACTACGTTATAGGAATTTACGTTATAGGGGGGTCGACTGTATGATTGTCACAATACCAAGCTGCAATTTTTAATGTATAATGAATTACATTTTAAATAAATAATAATTGATCACTAAGAATTTTCTGGTTAAAAAAAAATATCAAATTACAAAAATAAACCTGATATTTTTATGCTTATTATAATTTAATTTCTGTTTAATTATATGAATAAATTCCAATTTTCATCATATAAGCTAATAATCTTAAATGTTAAGCATATTATTATTTTTCCCCATCCTGTGGCACTAAGAGGGCCTTTTTTTAGCAAGCTATTATGGGTTTGGCTAGGCCAACAAGGTGGTGAGGGAGAGAGTCTGACATAACTATATGGACTACCCCAAAAAATTCCTGGGGTTTTTCAACCTGTCTAGATTCTATCCCATCAAGATAATATATTATTGTTACGCTTTTGAATAACGTGTGTTTTTCTTGCAGGTGATTTACCGCCCGATAATTCATCTGGTTGGAGTAGTTATTTACATCGATGGTCTGGACTTATTTAGTCAATTCTGTAATTTTATGAGTAGAAGAAATTTTAAAGGTTGTTTCTCAGGTACAAAATTGTGGTCCAAAGAATAACAATTGTAAATAATTAAATTGTGTATGTATATCTATACACATACTTTACATTGTGTACAAAAACTTGAAATTATAGTAATGACAATGAAATTATATATTGTAAACAGCAATATTTTTATTTGTGTATAGCATAATTTCAATTTTAAGATGAAATCTTAAAATTGATGGAAGATTTTATAAGGGCTTTCAAATCTTAACAAATTAACATTCCTATAGTAAATGTATTAAATTTATGAAATTCCTTAATAGAATTAAACATATCATTGAATATTCAGTTTGTTTTTAATAAATGTTGTTTATATAAATATTAGCTCTTACCATTAAGTAAAATTATATTCAAACATTTTAAAAAATGTGTTTAAAAATTGTTTTTCATTGATTTCTGACTTACTGCCAAAAGGTATTGTTTTGAAAATGTTTATTGATCAATAAAGTAAATAAAACAAAATACATGTAACAAGAGATTATTTATATTCACAATTACATTATGATTTAAAACTTGTTAATAGAATTAATTTGAGAGTTTATAGCCAAGAAAAAATAAATTAAATATTTAATTTTGATTTGGTTGAAATGCAGATATTAATTACTTGAGTTATAAATAAATTAAGTAAAGAAATTTCAGTTAATAATCAAAATCTGTTGGATTCATTGCCGGAGTCAGCGGATTTTTTGACGACTCCGACTCTGGCTAAAACACCAAAACTCCACAGCCCTGATAAAAATGAAGTTTTATATAGTTTGTAATATACTGTATTAAGCTAAAACTAAAAATCTTGAATGATTATTTTAAATACATATTACTTATGAACATTAAACTCCAGTTGGGAGTTTAATGTTCATAAGTGTACACGTGGGTGTTTCAAAAAGTAACAGCAAATTAAATATTTTGATATATATATATATATATAATTATTAATACAAACAAACAATATTTCATTTTTATACATAATCACCCACCTTTTCAATACTTCTCATACCATTGCATCAACTTCTTTATTCTATCAGAAAAAAAGGATTTTGGTCATGTGTTCAGCCAGAATGATGAACTGTTTCTTTCACCTTGTCATCATTCTCAAATCTTTGTCCTCTCAAAGCATCTTTCAGGGATACAAATACAGTGGTACCTCAGGATACGAAATTAATCCGTTCCGAAACTGAGATCGTTTCATGAAAATGTCGTAAGGTGGATCATCCTTTCCCATACGATTACATGTAAAACCAAATAATTCGTTCCAACGCGAAAAACATACTCAAATTAAAGCCAAGTAATACATTAAAAAAAATAACTGTAGTAAGAAAAACAAATGAAAAATGCGAACTAATGTAACGTCGTATGGTGAGTTTTTGTTCGTATCGTGGAGCAAAAATATGTTCGAATTTCATGTCGTATCCTGAAAATTTCGTATGCTGGGGCGTTCGTAACCTGAGGTACCACTGTACATGAAAGTCAGAGGGAACAAGCTCAGGACTGAATGGGGATGCTGTTAACATCTGAAATTTCAATTTCTGAATGGTGTCACGAGTTGCAGCAACCATGTGAACCATAACTTGTGATACTTGAGAACTTCCATGACAATATTATGTGAGGATCAGATACTGACATCCAATTCCCTGGCTGAAACTTTTAAAGAAATGCACCTGTTTTCGTGAAAGTCATCAGTGTGACCACCTTCTCATCAGTGATAGCCATATTGGAGCAATTGGAGGATCCTCATCACAGATTGATGTTTGCCATTTTTAATCATGTTTACCCATTTGTACATTCTTCTCTCACAATACTACTGTAGCATTTGTCTGTGAATTTCACAAGATTTCATACCCTCTGACTTCAACAAAATCTGATGATAGCTGTTTGCACCATAAAAAAGTAGCAAGCAAAGACCACCATTTTGTATATGCATCCCTTTCAATTAAGAATGCAACAATAAGGGTTTAGAAGAGCCATGTGCAATTCACAAGTCACAGTTTAGCCACTGTGGATATAATGTATACATATAATATAGTTGTTAGTGCAAAGAATTTTTATAACTAAAAAAGAACAATTAAAATAATCATTAATTTTGCACACTATGTATACAAGCAAATACATCAAAACAATGCTATTTTCCTAGGAGAGACACATTATCTACTCTAATTAAAACACACATAATACGAGGGTGGGTTTTTCAACCTCCAATGGTCCATAAAACAAAAACAAGTGTAAATAACAAAATGAATTTATTACCAAAAGTTAGGTACAAATATGGTTACTTTTTGACATAATCACCGCGAAGATTGAGACATTTGTCATATCTGTGGATGAGCTTTGCAATTCCTTCTTCATAGAATGTTGCCACCAATGGCAACATTCTTTGAAGAGGGGATGGAAAAGCTTGTTCATTTTGTTATTTACACTTGTCTTTGTTTTATGGACCATCAGAAGTTGGAAAAAAACAACCTATGTAGAATATAATTAATGTAATTTTTTTTTCTTTAGTACATGTTCAATGTTATTTACTATTTCTCTATTAACATATGAAACCGATTTGTTTTCACAGCATATAAAAAAAATCCATGACAACAATTTAAATCTTACAGATTGTGATATAGAATTTTAAAAAAAAATTGACTTACTATTATTTCAGTTTAAAATAAAATTTGAAATTAAATACTTTCATCTATAAGGTTAAAAATAAAATGGAAATCAGAGTTAACATTTAAACGAAGTAATGTGTATAACATACATGGTAAGATCCAAGTTCAGGGACTTGACATATAGTTTCTTGCCTTTAATAGTTTAAAACACACACATATCACCTTTAAAATAATCCTCTGAGTGACAATACATTTTTGCCAGTGCTCATACAGCTTCTACAAGCCATCTTTTGCAATCATCTGTGATGCATCCTATGATGCTGCTTTTACTTCAAGACTCAAATTGAAGTAAAAGCAGCCCTGCTATCATTTGTTCAACAAAAAGAAGTAAAAATTACAAGGTGCTAAGTTGGGTGAATAGGCAGGATGTGAAAGCCCTAATAGTACCATTTCTTACAAGAGGGTCTATGATCATGTGCAGGCATGTTGTTGTGGAGAACGTACAATAGTCCACTTTGCCACATCTCAGACCATTTATGACAGATGGACTCGTACAAGTAACAGATGGCTTACAGCAATGCTTCCAGAAGCTGTATGAGCACTGGCAAAATCTATGTTTTCTTCATTAATGTGTATAATAATATAGATGTTATGGACTAAGTGATTAATATGAGATTTATGAATAATGTAATAAATTTCAGGTGTTTTAACATAATTTATCAAATTGACCAGTCATTATGAATACTGCTATCACCTAGTCAGGCAAACTGATAATAATACAATAGAGTCCAGTACAACACACAAATAAAGCAAGCAACACCCTCGAATTTTGTCGATCAAAGGTATACTTTTTTTTTTTACTTATAGGCCAAAATTTAAACTTTCATAAATCGTGTGATAATGCAGGTTTCGATAATGCGTAACGAATCCCGTGTTGTACGGCACTCTACGGTATGTTGAGGAATGATCATCAACATACGCTAGTCAATCAGCACTTGCATCTGAATTGCACATGCGTATTGCATTTAACTACTGGTCACATAAATTTAAAATTCGGTACTAATCTTGTGCGACATTTTAATTTTACTTTTGTCTCTTAAATAGTGTTTTCTTCTTTGACAAAAGTAACAACCATGGAGCAATCATTAAGTGATATGAATAATTGCTTCAACAACCGATTAGACGAGTTAATAGCAGAAAAAGGTCAGAACAATCAAATTTTTACAAAATCAGCATAGTTGTCAATGATACAAAAAGTGAGTCAAAAATGAAAGTTACTTCTAAGTTACCAGAAGAATATCAACATTTACATAGATATGATGATGTAGCTATTGGAAATTTAGAAAAATTAATTATGCCAGTAAAAGAAGGTAATGTGATTAAATATTATGTTCATACTGAAGAAATATTTCAGATATTGAACGATGCCCATATTTCTATTGGTCATAGCAATAGAAACCGTATGGAAAAAGAATTAAGTACGAAATATAAAAATATTACGAGGGAGATGATCATAATTTATTTGAATTTATGTGAAATCTGTCAGAAAAAAACAGAATGTTCCTAAGAAAGGCTTGGTAGTTAAACCAATTTTATGTAATGAAATGAACTCAAGATGTCAGGTCGATCTTATAGATATGCAATTGCAAGCTGATGAGCAATATAAATTTATACTCATGTATCAAGACCGTCTAACTAAATTTGTTCAACTACAACCATTAAAAACCAAAAGGCCTGAAAATGTAGCATATGTTCTTTTAGACATTTTTACAATTTTCGGTGCACTGAGTATTCTATAATGGCAGAGAATTCGCTAATAATGTCATCAAAGAAATGTATAATATGTGGCCTGAGTTAAAAATGGTGCATGGAAAGCCCAGGCACTCCCAATGTCAGGTTCAGTAGAAAGATTTAATCAAGATATAAAAAATATGCTTAGTTCTTGCTTGGAGACTAACAATACTAACAAATGGTCAGAAGGATTACATTTTGTACAACTGATGAAAAATTAAGCACATCATACTGGTATAAACTGCAGTCTCTATGAGGCCATGTTTGGAGCAAAGTTAAAAGTTGGACTAAAGAATTTTATACCCAATGAATCGTTGACCAATGTTAATACGAAGGAGGATCTAAAGAGAATTTTTAAAACTATCGACAAAGTAAGTCAAAGTTGCTCAATCTCTGAAAGATCAGGTAATGTCCAAGAAAACATTATAAAAGATCATTTTATAATGCCACCCTCATATAGCAATATAACTGATGAAGTTCAAAGATCTACATCATCTTCACATGAAAAACGTCTAAACCAGGATGTTATTAGTATTACAGAATTGGTAAATGAAGAAGAAAAACTCGAAACAGTTGATCCAAAAATAGAAGAAAAAATAAGAAGTGTGTCTAAGACAAGGGAAATGGCTTTGTCTTAAAAAGCAAGCAGAAAAAATGATCAATACTGTACATCGAATTCCAAATACACAGCAGCTAATGTTGGTGATACAGTAAGGATTCATGTACCAGATGTAGATTGAGCCTGCAGTGATGGAAAAAATATTTTAGGTGTCATTGTTGCGGTTAAAGATAAAAATCTTTACAAACTGGGTACCAAATATGGCATATTAAATCTATTATATTCCAGAAACCAATTTACTGTTTGTAAAGAAAACTTCATTTCAGTTGGAGATGTAATGGGTGCAGAAATTTTGCTTAGAGAATGTGCAAAAATGTCATCAATTTCTGAAGGCCAAGGCTATAGTCAATGCTGCTGCAAAATTGGTTGCAAATCTAATAGATGCAAATGCTACAAAGAAAAAAATTATGTAATTCCAAATGTCATCAAAATCTTAATTGCTCGAATAAACAAATTAAAAAACATTTAATTTTTTATATAATTTATACCAAAAATGAAATTCCAGAAGTTTCCTGTAAGTTGATTTTTTGATGGAAGTAGAAATTTGTTAATACTTTTCGTTAATATTAATTTAATTAATACAGTTAATAGTATTTACTTTTAAAAGATTACATGTACTTTTTAAAATACTTTGAAATAATTCTAAATGAAATAAGTGGAGTTTTTTAATCAAATTGCCCGAAAGGAATATAGTTTTATTCATAATGTCTAGTCAATTTAATAAATTAATCAATATTTATCAAACTGTGCACCAATTTTAGTCATTATTCATAATGCCCTATTAATCACTTGGTCTGTAACATACACACTCATTTTTGTAAATGAAGTTCTCTGTCAATGGTTTGTTTTCAGTTGCAAAGAACAACACTGAACTTTTCCAGGGTGCAAGAAACATTTCAGATCCTAAAGATTTTTTCCAGGTTTAGTTTCTAGACATGGTCATTTTCCAAGGCCAGTAAGATTACCCAATTTGACAGCACCAAACTTTAGAAAAAAGCTTGAATCTGTCAAATCAGGTAACTGAAGGAAATGTATCTAAATAAGCCAGTTTTCAAAATTAAAGAACAATATTTGACATGAAATTAAAACATAATACCAGAAATAGTGTTGTTTCAATTTCATGTTGAATATTATTCTTTAATTTTTCAAAATAATGGAAAATGCTATAAAAAGAGCCCAATTTTGTATTAATGTTCAAGGTGCACATTTGTCAGTTATCAAATATCAAAATTTATCAGTTTAAAATAAAATATATGGTAATTTTAAAAAATGAAGTATTATTTTGTGCCATAATTAACAGTATGACACACAATAAATGTAAAAGTACACAGTAACAATGATGATTCAACTTTGTTTTTATGTAATTATTGATTGTATTTATTATAAAAATATATTAAATGGTAAAAGACCAATAATAATTCTGTTTATGGAAAAAATTTTNAGATAAAAACCTTTACAAACTGGGTACCAAATATGGCATATTAAATCTATTATATTCCAGAAACCAATTTACTGTTTGTAAAGAAAACTTCATTTCAGTTGGAGATGTACTGGGTGCAGAAATTTTGCTTAGAGAATGTGCAAAAATGTCATCAATTTCTGAAGGCCAAGGCTATAGTCAATGCTGCTGCAAAATTGGTTGCAAATCTAATAGATGCAAATGCTACAAAGAAAAAAATTATGTAATTCCAAATGTCATCAAAATCTTAATTGCTCGAATAAACAAATTAAAAAACATTTAATTTTTTATATAATTTATACCAAAAATGAAATTCCAGAAGTTTCCTGTAAGTTGATTTTTTGATGGAAGTAGAAATTTGTTAATACTTTTCGTTAATATTAATTTAATTAATACAGTTAATAGTATTTACTTTTAAAAGATTACATGTACTTTTTAAAATACTTTGAAATAATTCTAAATGAAATAAGTGGAGTTTTTTAATCAAATTGCCCGAAAGGAATATAGTTTTATTCATAATGTCTAGTCAATTTAATAAATTAATCAATATTTATCAAACTGTGCACCAATTTTAGTCATTATTCATAATGCCCTATTAATCACTTGGTCTGTAACATACACACTCATTTTTGTAAATGAAGTTCTCTGTCAATGGTTTGTTTTCAGTTGCAAAGAACAACACTGAACTTTTCCAGGGTGCAAGAAACATTTCAGATCCTAAAGATTTTTTCCAGGTTTAGTTTCTAGACATGGTCATTTTCCAAGGCCAGTAAGATTACCCAATTTGACAGCACCAAACTTTAGAAAAAAGCTTGAATCTGTCAAATCAGGTAACTGAAGGAAATGTATCTAAATAAGCCAGTTTTCAAAATTAAAGAACAATATTTGACATGAAATTAAAACATAATACCAGAAATAGTGTTGTTTCAATTTCATGTTGAATATTATTCTTTAATTTTTCAAAATAATGGAAAATGCTATAAAAAGAGCCCAATTTTGTATTAATGTTCAAGGTGCACATTTGTCAGTTATCAAATATCAAAATTTATCAGTTTAAAATAAAATATATGGTAATTTTAAAAAATGAAGTATTATTTTGTGCCATAATTAACAGTATGACACACAATAAATGTAAAAGTACACAGTAACAATGATGATTCAACTTTGTTTTTATGTAATTATTGATTGTATTTATTATAAAAATATATTAAATGGTAAAAGACCAATAATAATTCTGTTTATGGAAAAAATTTTGCAATTTTTCATAAAATATTAAATTACAGACACATCAAAATGATAAAATATTTTATTTACACATTTTTCATTTTTGGTTATCACAATTAATAATTATGATCCAACGAAAATATTAATCACATATTCAGCAATCTCAAAAAATCGGGTCAAAAAAACTTTTCTTCATGATGTAGTGAATGCACTGCATAATCACATTTTTTTCGTGGCGAATTTCATTGGCTAGAAGCTAAGGAAAAATAAAATTGTTAGCTTACTTGTTTAAAATTAAAACCGAAACCATATGAAAAATTTTATAATAATTACTTTTTCTAAGAGAGTATATTGTGGTCTATGCCTCGATTGATTTGTCCTCCGAGAAGGTGCCATCTGCCTAGTTTTTTTCAGTTGCTGAGCAGGTTTTGTAGTTTCTTGTTTTGGCACTTCATGTATTTTATTTTCGACTTTTTCAGGTATCTTATCTAAGATAAAAATTCAAATATGTTACTGTCCTAAATAGGAATCGATTCAATTTTGATAGCAAAATTATACACAGGATTCATAGTAAAGTTCTTATATACTGACACATGAGCAATGCATAATGTATGACACATATCATAATGAATGAAGCACAAAGACAGGAAAGTGAGAAATGAATGAGAACACACAAACACATGAACATATTTTACTGTCTGTGCTCAATATGCACATTAACATTTCACACTATTCATGTATACAGTGCTTTTGTACTAACAAGGGGACCTTACGGTCTCTGAAATTCAGTTCGGGATGAGACTTTGCAGGTTAGTAGTATACCTCAAGGGTGTCCACACAGAAGAATTGTAAAGCGTACTAGCCAGAAGATTCCAAGAAAAGGGGCTCTAAAGTTTTAAGCACAGCTCATATACTGGTCGATTTTACACTATGGCAGGACAGCAAAATGGCCGAGTCTGTAGCGAACTCGCCTGCCATGTGGGTGACCTAGGTTTGATTTTACCTTCGGCTAACTTTTTTTTTTAAATTGTTTTAAAAATTATAACAACTTTTAAATAAAGTTAATAACCTAAAAATATTATCCATTAAATCATAAATAATTTTATTTTATTTATGAAATGACTGTTACAGCTAAAATTAACGATATAAAGATAATATTTTATTTTTTAAAAGTTGAATAATTTCAAATGCATTTTTAATGAAGGTAAATTAAAACTTTAGTTACTATTGTTATTAAAAATTTATTACAAATTTTAAGATATTATAAGCTGTGGAGAGGTTAAAAATATTCGTTGTAAATTTGAGAAACAGGTTTCTATGTGGAAGAGTAGAGTATAGCTGTTGATTATTTATGATTTAATTGATAATATTTTTAGGTTATTAACTTTATTTAAAAGTTGTTATAATTTTTAAAACAATTAAAAAAAAAAAAGTTAGCTGAAGGTAGGATCAAACCTAGATCGCCCATGTGGCAAGTGAGTTTGCTATAGACTCAGCCATTTCACTGTCCTGCTATAGTGTAAAATCAACTAGTATATGAGCTGCACTTAAAACTTTCAAGCCCCTTTTCTCGGAATCTTCTTGCTAGTGCACTTTACAATTCTTCTGGGTATACTACAGGTTAGTATACCTCAAGGGTATACTAACCTGAAGTAACCCTTGTAACCTTGTAGTAACCCTTGAGGTATACTACTAACCTGCAAAGTCTCATCCCGAACTGAATTTCCGAAACTGTAAGGTCCCCTTATAAATTGGTCATGCTCTACAACTTTGTAATTGACTTTCCATATCATCCATCATTTTCAAGATAGGAGTGCTAACGTCTGAATTTTAACACTAGGGGCACTGTAAGCAGTCATCTTGTAGTGAATAGTAATTTTACTATACTATACATCACATTCATAACTGTGGCTATGTGTTCATCAATTGCATTGGTATATAAGGAGTTTACTATGTACCTGGTATTTATAAATGAAAAAATAATTAATTATCTAACAAACTAATCATTATTAATGCATCTAAATCATTTGAAATNTTTTTAAAACAATTAAAAATGAAAATAAAAAAAAGTTAGCCCAAGGTAGGATCGAATCTAGATCGCCTGCATGGCAAGTGAGTTTGCTACAGACTCGGCCATTTCTCTGTCCTGCCATAGTGTAAAATCGACCAGTATATGAGCTGCACTTAAAACTTTAGAGCCGGTTTTCTTGGAATCTTGCTAGTATGCTTTACAATTCTTCTGGGTGGACACCATTGAGGTATACTACTAACCTGCAAAATCTCATCCCGAACTGAATTTCCGAAACTGTAAGGTCCCCTTGTAAATTGGTCGTGCTCTACAACTTTGTAATTGACTTTTTTTCCATATCATGCATCATTTTCAAGATAGGAGTGCTAACTTCTGAATTTTAACACTAGGGGCACTGCAAGCAGTCATCTTGTAGTGAATAGTAATTTTACTATAACTATACATCACATTCATAACTGTAGCTATGTGTTCATCATCAATTGCATTGGTATATAAGGAGTTTACTATGTATCTGGTATTTATAAATGAAAAAATAGTTTAATTATCTAACAAACTAATCATTATTAATGCATCTAAATCATTTGAAACCATTTCTACTTTGGTGGCACTTGATAATCAATCATAGTGAGTTTTCAAAAAAAAAATAATAATAATAGAAAATGTAAGTACAATTTCAAATGTTTTACACGATTGTCAAAGATGATATCGAAACATTGTACAAATTAACAATATTAGCTGTAAAAATGCATCATTATATTTTACAATAGAGTCTCATTGTGCCTGGTACTTTAATTATACCAGATAAAATGCTGGGCAAAAAATCAACAAATATAAAAATAAATCAAGCTCCAACACCACTATAGTCACAGAATTCATAAAACTGGCACAGGATGATGATGAGCAAATTATAGATAACATTAAAATTAACAAATGATTTGTAATTCAAATTGACAAATTAACTGATGTTTCTGACAGAGACACCTCTCTGCATACATTCAGTATTTTGCTGTTAAGAAAGAGACAATTGTCAATAAAATCCTAGAATAAAAACAATTAATAGAATGTACAAAAGGAAGAAGATATTTTTAAAATTCTTGCCAATTTCATAATATGTAATTAGATTTGCAGTGAGAATGGTGTGTCTATGTATTTACTGGAGCCATTTCAATTACAGACCAAAAATGTAATCAAAATTAAGCTTAAGCTGGTACACTGCATCATATACAAAGCTTGATCTCCATAATAATTATTCCCAATTTATATGAAAAATTTCTATAAAGTGGTCACCTTAATCAAATCCTGTGCATTAAACCCCATCTTGTCAATGTAATGTGCAAAGAAATGGGATCTGCGCATACTTGATCAAGATGTAATGGCTGTCACAAGAACGCATGTCAATCTACCTTTCTAAGTAAAATGGTGTAAAATGTTTCCTCTAAAAATTAAAATTAGATTTAATTCTATATTTTAAGGATGAAGACCAGTTATGTCAAGTAGCTTATTTGGGGGTACTTTCAACAAATTAAATGATTTCAATCTTCAATGCCATGTGACATGACTATTTTTTAAAGTAACTTTACGTGAAAAGATGATAGGAATTCAAGAAACTTTTTCTTTGGATTAATAGCAGTTTACCTAACTCATTTTTGAATTAATTGAGCAAAGTTAATGCAGATAGGTTTTGAAAATAATCAAATGTCACTTGTACAATCTTAAAAGAAAAATTTCTGAAATACTTTCCAGAAAATGAGAAAGATAACATCAAAGTTTGGATTGCAAATCTTTTTTTATACAACAATCATAAATTCCTCTGATCTTCATTTAAATTTGAAAGTAAACCACCTAGAAATGACCCTTGAAAATATCAATCCTGCATGCAAAGAGTACAAAGAGCTTATTATTTGTGTGAGAAGGTTTCTCAGTACTTCATCAAATCAAAAGAAAGCACAAGAATGCACAGGAACTTCTTGAACCGAAGACCAATTCTAACTTTTCTACATAAAAATATTCATCTCATTATTAAAACAGGTTAGAACAAGGCTGCCAAAACCCAGGCCTGCCGACCACAAAGTGACCCACCAACGCATTTTAATTTGCCTGCCCACAGTAGTGGTCAGCTGTCACCATGCCCAATGTCGTACTACCAATAATGCCAACTGCCACGTGATTGGTTGATTGGACAAACGTGGAATGAACTGACTTGAGTCACTGCCACACCGCTGTTAATACCTAACCTATGCATTTATTATACTTGTTCTATTAGTTTTGAGTTGACTTTTGTGTATTAAAATTAAATTGTTGTCACCAAATATTGAAAAATTATTAGCTAATAAGCCCCTCCTTAGCTCTCATCGATGTATTTTTTATTAGGTATTATTAAAACATGTGCAACTTAAAGCTTTGTTTGATTCAAATACCTATCCATTTATAGAAGAATCATGAGGGTAAGAAAGTATGATTCACTAGGTGGCCCGCCGGCTGACATGTAATTGAAATTATAGCCTGCCTCCAAAATAAATTGGGCAGCCCTGGGTTAGAACCACATTAACTAATAGAAGATAGTTATTTTAGCAAATCACAATTAATCTTTTACCCCAAATTGTAGTGCATAGATAACTATATAGTTAAAGTTAAATTATATCTGAGGGTATGCAAACAAAAAAATGCTGCTGTTCCAGACAAATGGAATATAAAATACAGTAAAGTCCTGGAAACTTGACTCCCAATAACTCAACAATCTGTAAAACTTTCAGGTCATTCAAAAAAAAAAGTATGTGCAATCTAATTTTTCTCTAACCAAATAATCAGATCAAATAAGTTATCATTCTTTACAGATGACACTCGATTATAGCATAAATTCCATGTTTTAACAAAGAATATAACAATATAACTGTTTATTCAAAATGCCATGATGCAAATGTCACTAACTCAAAAGTAGTCATTGAATAGCTAATATTTTTTAAAATTAAAATTTAACTACAAACAGTAGTAGTCACTATTGCCACATAGTTAACATGTATGTGAATTTGCACAGATAATAACCTTTATGAAAATTTCACTATTTAGACTAGCATCATTGCTTTTCCATAACTCAGTACCTTTTCAGTCCATATTAAGTCAAGTTTGCAGGACTCTACTGTAGATGAAAAAACAGCTTGAAGAACAGCAGTAATGACTTAATTCATCCTGAGAGATGCATAATGTCCAAAAAATGCACTGAGATTTAACTCTCCTATGTTCTATTTCCAAAACAAGATTATATATACAAAGTCCCAGGAAATCCTTAATATTGAATTTAATCTTCCAAAGCAATATTGCTGGTGTATCTAATGTGCATACTACACTGCTAGCATAGCTAAGAAAATAGCAATTTTCTATTTTTCATACAAGCTCATAGAAGGGGTATATCTATGAGCATTTTTCTATTCTGCTCATATTCATTCTTTTTGCTTTAATTAAATGAAATTACATGTCAAATTATCTATGCCATTTAAGGAAAACAATGAGATACACTAAGAGTTCAATATGTAAAAACATGTTTTTACAATTGAATTCTTACAGAAAATGTGTTTTTAAAATCTAAAATAGTGACAAACACATCCATAAGGGGTTGTAAGGTTTATCTATTTTAAAAGTACTAAATCCTATAATCATATTATGACTTGGTGAGCATTATAGACTGAAATTCATAATTCTTCATATATTCAGAAAAAATATTGCTGGAAGTCTCTCTATAGAAAGATAGAATTGCACTCTAGTATTTTTCTGATTCCTTTCTCTCCTTGCATTTTTTTCAAATCTTATATATTAAAAGCAAAATGTTCTGTCCCTACCAAAACTGAAACCAACAAAAAAAAGCAGCATGTAAATGGTCACACTGGGTCATCTATGGGGTCTACAATTCGTTCTTCAAAAGGTCCACTCATTAACTTACTCTGTGAATTTGGCACAAATTCATGGAAAGGGTTAATTAACAAAGGGAATGAAGGTCTTTGCATAGGAATAGGAAACACAAAAAGACTTCACTTTTGACTCAGACTTGAAGAGATGGCTACACTTTATTGGAATTGTAGTAATTACATTTGTTAGAGTGGACTTAAAGGTGGACTCTATGCTATAGACTTTCCAAGATATCATAAGTCACAATCATGAATTCCCTATTATACATGGAAGAAGCTTAAGTAGATCTGAGTAGACCTTATGTAACTTTCTTTAGTTGAGTTTACATGAGATCTCAAAAAGAAAAATCTTTCTCAAAGACTTTTTTCAAGAAAATAAGACCTTGTCTACAATCTGAATTAGATTATTTGAAGAGTGCTAGAGAAATCAAGTTTGGTCTGCTATTTGTCTCAAATAGGAAACCGAATAAAGATGTTATCATCCAATTCTTCAAACCTTTACAGAATATTGACAAGGCCTTCTACACACAAAATTATTTTACTTTTATCTGATTTTAGGGGAAAATTCTTATAGTATTTAATATAATATTTAAATGTAAAAGTTAGAAAAATCTTTTATCATTTTAATAAAAAACATTTAATATTTACCCTCTTCTTGCTTTTCTTCTTCAGAATCTGAACCATAGTTAGCAATCAAACTTCCTAAAGCACCTCCAATTTTAGTTTCAAGTGGTTTTTCTTCAATAGTTTTTTTTATTATGATCTGTTCCAAGGGTTTCTCATCATCAGATTCTAAAAATTAAAAGTATAATTTAGTACAAATATAATTTTTTGATAAATTTATTGAATTCGAAATTGTACCTTCAATTACTTTATCAGCTACAAAATAAGATGATTTTAATTTAGTTTCGTCGTCATCCTCCATTTCAAAACAACCTACATGGTTCGAATTCAATACTGACTCATTATTCAAATTTTTATTTTGTTGTAAACCGTTTGTCATCACATTTTCTGACAAAGGTGTTGCTGAAGTTTTTTCTGCTAATTCACTGTCAGAATCACTTATAGAAAATTTATCCAATTCTAAACAGTTTTGTTCAATGCTAGCCTCATTTAAATTAGCTCCTTGTTTACATTCTGATGACAAAAATTCAGAGTTAATAAATAAAAAATCCATTTCATCATCTTTATCATCATTGTTTAAAGCAATTCCAGTAAATTTCTGTACCATTCCTTTTGTATTGTCGACATCTTCATCTGATAATACTGATTTTGGAAGCTGAATTGCTTTGTTACAATTTTTATTTACAGTACGGTTTACATTTTGTTGATTTGTTACTTTCCTTCTTTTTCTTTTTGTGAAAAACTTCTTTCTCTGCACATAATAACTATGTTTTTTAGAGGATTTCATTTTTCTGTATTAAAAAAGTAAATTTAAGATTAATATGTCCAAGTGATTATTATAAATATTAAAAATATTTGCCAATAACTTAGATATACAGATTAAAAACATATTAAGGATCTACACAATTTTTTGCATGCTAATAAACAAAATAATTATCACATAAACATAGTAAATAAAAGCTCATATTTACCCTACAAAATATGAAATATCGATGTATATAAAAAAATATATCCTGTAGAATGTTTAGTCCCTATTTCTATCAAAGTATTAATAGATTAAATGAAAAGCTCCAAGAAAATCTTTAAGATTAAATTTAATCTTCCAAATTTAACAATATTGTTGATGTATCTAGCACGCATAATCTGTATTAAATTCAAGTATAAACTGATAATCTTAATTACAGCATGTGGTATCAAAATTTGCAAACAGTTGAATTAGACGGCTCAAGTTGGCATGATACAAGCAAGAACAGATATGCATAGTTCTTCCTTAGCATTTGGTAATGCATTTATGGCATCTGAGACATGTGGACATTCAGATCTTGCTTCAGATCTAACAATCCTATTCCTTAGAACTCATTCAACATTTTCCTTACTGTTTTATTTATGGACCTTATGAAACCTTTCAAACTTCTAATTTCATTGCATTTATTTCTTTGAATACACAATATTAAACACAATCATTCTTGAGAATTCATTTTTGTGGAATTTTACAATAAAAATTAATAAAATTATTATTTCACTGAAATAGATAGGACTTTATAAATATCCTGTGCTTCATATATTGCTTTTTATGAATAAAGGTATTTTTAAGAAAACATTATTTTGAAAGCATTTTCAAGATTATTTGCTTAAATTAAAGATTAATATAAAGAGTTATTAAAATTTCTTGTATTTTAAATTATATACAGTAGGCTGTACTTACTGAAATTGCAAATGTTATAAGTTTGTTATGTTATCAAAATCAGCAATTCCAAAACATTCAGTTATTGTTATCATTATCCTTTAGTAACTAGGCCTTTTTATATTTTCTTTTCATGCTAGCATATTCAATATGCAGCCAGTGATGATATTCAGTGGGTTCGCACAGGTTCGGCCGAACCCGTTATTAACATTTTCAAACTTTTCCGAACCTTGTTAAATGCACATAACATTTCTCAGTGGTTTTGTTTCTTTTAAAAAATATATTAAAATATACATATTATACACTGTAACACTACTAAACTAGAGCCTTATTGTTAAGATTAATCATATTTTTGTAGGCCGCGCTTAAGTTGAGTGCCACCTGTGTTCTTTTTGTGTAAAAAATCCAAGTCGGATATACGTAAGTAATAAAACATTCTCGTTGATTAATCCCGCCATTTTTTCTTGATTCATTCACGGATACACAAAAGTACAACAAGTTATGGGCCCAGGACCCGTGAATGAATCGCAACAGTCGAATTTGTCTAAGAGAAAGGAAAAGGCATAAATTGAGAATAGCAAGTTGTATCGAGACACGTGTCAGCCATACCTTCGTTCATCGTCTGCAATCGCCATCTTTGACAAGCTTCAACCGTTGGTCAACCTCATCAGTGTTCGTAAATGATCGTGAATTGTTACCCGTCATCACCGTAAGTGTATTTAGATAAGATACAGAACTAATTAAGTCAGTAAATTATTTAGTCTGTCAATATGGATATCGTAAAATCTCAAATGGAAACTTTGTCAGAAGATTTGCAGGGAAATATTAATTATATTTCATGGAAGTTTAAACTAAATCTTACATTGAGATCGAAGGATTTATATGACATCGCAAACGGAATTATTCTTAAACCTGAAGATGTGAATAATGCGGCAGATGTCGCAGCGTGGATTAAGAAGGATTTAGACGTTCAAGCTTGTATAGGTTTAAATGTGAGCAGTAATATCGCAAAGAAAATTGCAATAGTATGATACACAAATTAGAAACCTTGTACGGTAAAAGGTCTGATCTCACAATTGAAGGGTTACAGAGAAATTTTTTTAATTATAAGTATGATTCAAGCAAATCTGTAGTGGAGAATTGTTTATTAGTTCAACAATATGCAGAAGACTTAAAAGCTGAAGGAGAAACAATTAAGGAAAGCTGGATTATGACAAGAATGCTCGGAATACTGCCACCGAAACTATACCACTTCAGGACATCATGGGATAATGCTAATTCAACGGACAAGAACATTGACACCTTAATTGAACGACTTCAACTGGAAGAAGACAGATTGAAGGAAGATGACAAGAAGGAATCAGTTGCACAGAATGCTCTCATTTCAAAGCAGAAAATGCAAGGTAACAAGGACAAAAGTCAGCAGAAAAGTTCAAGAGTCGAATGTTTCAAATGCGGACAAAAGGGACACACAAAGAAATATTGCAAGAATAAGCCGTGTCAGAAATATTTGGAGTATTGTAGGAAAACTTATAACTGTAACAATTGCAATCAAAAGGGCCATTTCGCAAGGGAGTGTATAAATGAGAAGTCAGACGAATCAAACAAAGGAGATAAGATCAAAGGACAACGACGAGCTCTTGTCACTGTAGGATTGACATCAACGAAAATAAATGACAGGAACTCAAGACGAGATCGACAGGATATCTGGTATCAAGATAGTGCTGCCACACAGCACATGACCTTCAGGAAAGAATGGCTGACAAACTACAAAGCACTGGAGGAGTATACGAAGGTGATACTTGGGAACAACACAGAAATCAATGGGATTGGAGTAGGTGACGTCGAACTCGAGGCTTTTAATGGAAGTGAATGGTATCCAGCAACCCTGAAAGATGTTTTATATGTTCCTAATATATCATTCAATCTATTTTCGGTTACCCAAATGTTGGATAAAGGGTTTATTCAGACTGCCAATGCAAACACATCAATTATCGAAACGGCCGATAGAAAGGAGCAAATAGTAGTAGCACAACGACATGAAGAATTATATCAAATGATGTTCCGCAGAGAGGTCACAGGAATGTGCATGATAGCCAACTCAATCAAAGTCTGGCACGAAAGGCTGGCACATCAGAATGTGAAGTACTGCAAGAGTATTTTGGACAGAAACAATATAAGATATATTGATGACTGGGACAACAACATTTGTATTGGCTGTGTCTACGGCAAACAACATCATATCTCTCACCCAAGAAATAACAAGGTAGCGAAGGAAGTATTGGATCTTATACACGTTGACTTAGGTGAAATGGACACCTTATCTCTGGGAAAGGCAAGATATTTTCTCCTATTCAAGGATGACTTTTCTCATTTTAGAACTGTTTATTTTTTACGAACCAAGGATGAAGCCCCTGCAGCATTGGGTAAATACATGAAACTAGTTGAAAACCAATTTGGAAGAAAAGTGAAGAGCCTAAGGTCTGACAACGGGACAGAAATAAAAAATTCGACTACCAGGGAGTTATTGGAGGAGCTTGGAGTTTTACATACTAGGACAAACACGTATACACCGCAGCAAAATGGACGAATAGAGAGGGAGATGCGCACCATAGTGGAGTCAGCTCGATCTGTTTTACATGCCAGGAACTTAAGCGAAAATCTTTGGGCTGAAGCTATTAACTACGCTGTGTTCACCATTAATCAAACAGGAAAGAGCTCTATAGATGATAAAAGTCCTGCCGAACTTTGGTTTGGACGTATGGTAAACATCTCGAAATTGAAAAGTTTCGGCTGCGAGTGTTATATATTGATTGAAGATCATAAAAGGAGAAAGATGGAGAGAAAGTCTATGAAAGGAATCTTCGTCGGATATGATCTCGATTCACCCTGTTATAGAGTCTACTTGCCAGATGAGAAGGAGGTCGTCTGCACTGACAATGTGATTTTCAATGAAAAGTCTGAAACTAAAGGAAGCACTGCCGAAGTCGAGACCTACATGAAAGAAAAGGGAACAGAAGAGAAGATAGAAGAGTCCGAAATTGAAAACGAAACCGTAGAGGATTCAGATCATAAATGTTCACAGAATCATTCACGACACATCACTCCAGAAGAAACTGATGAAGGACCAGAACCGCCAGAGGAAATTCAACGAAGTTTACGAAATCGCCGAAAACTAAAAGCACCAACCAGATTCAACAATTATGAGATGGGACTTATTCACAACTATGCCATGATAGGAGAAACCGAGGATATTTCAGTTAAGGAGGCTTTGGAGGACAAAGGATGGTATAAGGCTATGCGGCACAAGTACGACAGCCTGATCAAATTGAAGACTTGGAGCTTGGTGGAACCTCCAAAATATGCGAGACATCTGACATGCCGATGGGTATTACATCGTAAACAGGACGGCAGGATGAAAGCTAGACTTGTTGTAAGGGGATTCGAGCAAAGGCAAGGCATAGATTATTCAGATACCTTCAGTCCTGTAGCCAGACACGCATCTATCAGACTCGTGCTCAGTCACGAAGCATCCAGTAAAATGAAAGTAACAGTTTTTGATGTTAAGACAGCTTACCTACACACCAACCTCAAAGAAGAGATATATATGAACCAGCCAGAAGGATTCACTGATGGGACAGAAAAGGTTTGCAAGCTTGAAAAGAGTCTGTACGGTTTAAAGCAAGCTGCCAAAGATTGGAACGACGAAATCTCTGACTTTTTTCTTACCATAGGATTTGTTAATACCGACGATGACCCGTGCGTTTATTACAACAACGACAGAAGTGTGATAATAGTATTGGTCGTAGACGNCTTTTACAAATTATAAATGAATTATGTCAAAACTAAATAACTAATTGAAGTACAGCTAACAGATATTTTTTGTAAAAATATATGAGTAATTTCTCTTCCATTAGAAATGCCAATGCAGCAATTCTTGAGTGCAACAATATGCTTACAAAAAATGGCTGAAATTTTTGTTAAATAATATGGAATTTTTATTTTATTAAAACAGAACATAAAACTGACATTATATTTCATTAAAAACACATATTTAAGGAAATATGAGTGCCATAGTCTGAAAAATTTCTTACAACTAACTTAATTTTAAGATTTAAATTATTCAGAAGTTTATTTCTAAATGAGATGTGAGGAAAATATCTAAAAAATTAGTTTGATTTCTTTTATTCCAATGGCAAAAACTCAGGAAACTGAATATAGTAAAACAGATTCAAGTAATAATAGCCTGTATAATACAGAATAGAAGAGAAATGAATCATAACATTTGATTAATTACAATTTTAACATTCCATTTAAACATTTGAATGTTATAATTACAATGTAAATATTTTCAATTTAATTGTATGATTAATGTGTAGATACAGAAAATATATCTCACATGTTAAATATGAAAGCATAATCACTTATAGTTATTCTCTGATTTATAATTATTACCTATTGTAAACAATAAGNAGTATCGTGCAGCAGTTTCATCTATCGATGATATCTGCTGGGTGCGAAGAATAGGGATTGAACTGAGGTTATTAAAGAATGAAGAACCTACTTTGTTGCTTGTCGACAATCAGTCGGCAATTCACATGCTTAAAAACACTCACCAAGGAAAGATAACCAAAGGTAAAAAGCATATTGAGATACAGAGAAAATTTATTCAGCAGCATATTGGCATGACTATTGAACTGCAACATATTAAAAGTGCCGATCAGCTCGCTGACATACTAACAAAACCTTTGATACATAAAAATAAATACGACATTTTTAGCCCTTCCTTTTCGCCGTTTTCACCATCAGCAATCCTTTAAAAAAATTCCACAAAATTACGGAGACGACCTTCCTTTTGAGGCTACTACCTCCGCAACAAAATGTAAAAATAGGTAGAGCGTCCTCTGGTGTTTTTGAATCGTGTAATATTTGAAAAGTTACGCTGTAATATGATTAAGGAGGAGTGTTAAGATTAATCATATTTTTGTAGGCCGCGCTTAAGTTGAGCGCCACCTGTGTTCTTTTTGTGTAAAAAATCCAAGTCGGATATACGTAAGTAATAAAACTTTCTCGTTGATTAATCCCGCCATTTTTTCTTGATTCATTCACGGATACATAAAAGTGCAACACTTATACCCCGTTTGCCTTGGTGCAACCTCCCTCAACCGTTTCAATCTTGACTAAAATGATGTTTAATTGCGATCGACTCGAGAGTTCTTGAAACTAGATCCAGTCATAAGAGAGATCCCACAATCTCACACACGAGAAAATACAAGATGGCTACAGAATACATGTCATAATAAAATATGTACAAAATAAATCATTTTGAACACACTTTTTTTATTATTTATATAAAAAAATATAGTTCTGGCATAAACAATGTTAAATTTTAACTGACTTAATTTTGCGAACGTATCTTTTTTATTTATATGGGTATCTTAAGGTCAGTTTTTGCGCTAATGTTGCTAATGAACCATTTAAGCGAAAAAAAATTGTTAAGGAAAAATTTTCTGTTAGCGAACCCTTTGTTAAATATTTCAAATATCACCACTGTATGCAGCTAATAATATGAAATTGTTTTAGGTTGTCATTACTAGTCTTAACCAGTACTTTAAATATATCAGTTTAATCATTATTTGTTCACAATACAATAGTTTAAATTGCTGGCGTTATACTATCTGTTGTTGAAGTTGGTAGCAGACAAACAATACCGAAAGAATTATTTATCAATTTACAATTTAAAAGTGTAATTATGTCTTTACATGTCTTTACAGACATAATTACACTTTTAAATTGTTTTAACAATCCTTTTAAAGTTAGAGTTAATAAAATTAGATATTTTCCTCTAATTGTAGTCTCACTTTACAGTGTTATCAGTTTAGATCATCCTTTCTCAAAGTGGGTGATAATGCCCCCTTGTGGGCACTGGAGGCTTTCAGGGGGTAGTAGAAGGCTCAGTGATTAAATATGAGTTTTATTTCTTCTCATTGAAACACTCTTTGATCTCAGAAATAGGATATGGGTCACACCCTATCTATCTCATCCATATAATAATGCATGTTTAAACATTATATTTGCAATAACTGTTTTTAAGATATGCAATAGATGGTAATGTAAAAAGGTAAGTTAAAAAGTATGGGGGCACTAGATTTTTTTAAATCTCAAAGTGGGCTATGGTCGAAATAAGTTTGAGAACCTGTGGTTTAGATAATTCCTAAAGCAATGACAATAAGCAGAGTCTACTGAATTTGAATTTCGAATTTGTATTCCATCTTTTATTAAATATAGATATATTTTATACATATCTTACAAGTCTAGAAAAATGAAAATTTCATAAATATTCCATATACTTAAAAAAAAGGTATTTGTTAAAGAAAGATTTAATAATAATAATTATTATATTGAAATTTCTATGCCAAATCAAAACCCTAAATTACAATTAACCAAATATAATTTGCTGAAAAAGTATTAATGGTATACAGATATACCTCACCTTACGTCGGTAATTGGTTCCAGGAGAGACGACATAAGTCGAATTTACTTGTCTCTGAATCGACTTGTCACTAGGCTAAACCATAAATTACCATTCCCGGTTCTGTATTTTATTTATNAGTATACTTTACATTAATATTCTCAGTACTTCCTTTTTTAAATTTGCAACATTAGTGTCTGTTTTGCAACTAAATAAAAATAACAATTGCCATTTTCCGATAACTTTTCATATATTATTAGCTGATTTTGTAGTTCATTCTGATAACTCGCAGTAAAAATAAACTGAATCTGATATTGTATGTTCTTTGAAATTAAGCATAAAATTGCTATCAAAAACTTATAACTATTAAATGTGTTCTGTAATTTCTTATATAGTTTTACCATATTATACAAAATAAGGACTAAAGAGGAGCATATGACTCAAAATGCACTTTTTAAAATAAAAGATAAAAAATAAAATCTACTTTTTCCATTGAAAAAAGTGTCCCTGTGTGATAAGCTCTGGATAGCAATATTATGTTTAATTCCAAAGAACATACAACCAAAATAGAGAGCAAGCAATCAAGCACTAATAAATCTGATATTACTTGTATTTCCTCAGCAGCGGCGGCCTTATCCATTGCGAGGCTCTGGGCGGCAGATCTTTGCAAGGCCCTTGTCCTTTGTGCAAAGTATGTGAATTGAAATAGTAGGCACTTATTAATATTAATATATACTGTACTATAAATTAAATTTATTTTATTGTTATAACTAATAGCCAAGGATAAAATAAAAGTTTTAAATATCAACTTTTTTCTACTTGGTTGTTGCGCGAGGCCCCGGGCGATTGCCCTGCTCGCCACCCCCTAATGCCGCCACTGGTTAGAAGTCATTATCAACTAGTATTCAATCTTAGTTGCTTCATATTACAACCCAAAGAAATAACTCTTACTGATTAGAATTTATTTTTATATTTAAACATGTTTATCATTTGATTATTTATGTTCTATGTACATTAATATCTGTAAATGTTTGATTCTTTAAACATTAACCTAATGAAAAGCATTAAAAATGATTGAAAATGTTAGTTTTTTCAGTTGAATAACCTTTTAGCTATTATTCAAGGTTGTGTTTGATTGAGTCACTTACTCTTATTAAACTTCTACATAAATTTATTATAGTTTATATCTTTACAATGGGAAAAGAGAATATCTATCTAATATATAAATGAATAAAGCTTCCATATTTCTGTAATATTTAATTTTCTACATCTGTTGCAATGATTTTACTAAATGGCTGCCCATTGCTAGTTTTGAAATATGCTTAAAATACTTATTATTGTAGTTTGAAACCGAGTTATTTATTGCTGTATATATTAATGAGACTTGATTTTTATACTTGTTACCAATTTTTCATTAATTATTTTCCATTAAATCAAAAATATAGGGAGAAGCAATAAGAAAGATACTATTCAATATGTAATATTATGAATATATCTTTTACAAATTATAAATGAATTATGTCAAAACTAAATAACTAATTGAAGTACAGCAACAGATATTTTTTGTAAAAATGTATGAGTAATTTCTCTTCCATTAGAAATGCCAATGCAACAATTCTTGAGTGCAACAATATGCTTACAAAAAATGGCTGAAATTTTTGTTAAATAAAATGGAATTTTTATTTTATTATAACAGAACCTAAAACTGACATCATATTTCATTAAAAACACATAATTAAGGAAATATGGGTGCCAGAGTCTGAAAAATTTCTTGCAACTAACTTAATTTTAAGATTTAAATTATTCAGAAGTTTATTTCTAAATGAGATGTGAGGAAAATATCTTAAAAATTAGTTTGATTTCTTTTATTCCAATGGCAAAAACTCATAGGAAACTGAATATAGTAAAACAGATTCATATAATAATAGTCTGTATAATACAGAATAGAAGAGAAATTAATCATAACATTTGATTAATTACAATTTTAACATTCCATTTAAACATTTGAATGTTATAATTATAATGTAAATATTTTCAATTTAATTGTATGATTAATGTGTAGATACAGAAAATATATCTCACTTGTTAAATATGAAAGAATAATCACTTATAGTTATTCTCCGATTTATAATTATTACCTATTCATCATTTATAATTATTTTACAGTATATTCTATATTTTAATTTTGGATTAATAAACTTACCCAAATGATTTAGTCTCTAATATTTCTCCTCTTGCAAGTTTCTCAGCTTGTTCTGCTTCATGTTTTTTTATTTTTTCAACAGTTGGAAAATTTCTATTAAAAATTTTATAACTTCTTAATTATCAAAAAAACAAATACAAATATTAAAAATTCAAAACAAACAAGTAGCATATAATAATATACAATCACAATTATAAATTTCAAATTTTAGTTTAAAATCAAAGATTATCAGTATTAATTTTCTGATGTACATTTGAAAAAACTCCAGCAACGAGTTTTATAACATTCCTGGACAAACCTTAAGATTGTGTGTGGTGCCATCTGTTATGAGTTTTTATTTTAAAAATTTTTTATATTATTAATTATTATAAAATGGCATAAAGCTTAATTTTGAGGGTAGAGATGAATTTTATAAAAAATTGCAAATAATGAGTAAAATCTTTGTTAAATCCAACCACACTGAAGATATGACAGGTGACCTCCCCTCTATCTTTTAATCACCAAAATTTAATAGCATCAATGCAACTAATACTCAAACCTCCCTGGAAAATTTCAAAAATTTTTGACAAAAGGCACGGGTTATTAAGCTTCAAAGTGAGTAAACTAAATCATGCCATCCACCAACATCCATACTTAAGAAAAACTCCTAAATTATTATTTTTATTTATTTATTTGCATTTATTGACATTTCAAGGTCCCAAGTCCAAAAATGTAAAAATCTAGAGGGGGATCATTTCCCTCTGTTATACGAGGTCTGTTCAAAAAATACGCAGACTGTTTGAATTTCGTGGCTCCAGTTGGTTCCAGGGGAATCAGCTTGGTGTCGCTAGGTTTGTACAGATCGTCTGGTGATAAAGCTGTTTCCCAATTACAGATATCTTTATTTGTTGATTAGCTATGCGGTTTTTAGTGAAGTGCGATTTTTTCATTTCTCAGATTTCAGAATTAATGACCTGATGGAGCAACAACTTGCTGTGAAATTTTGTGTTAAACTTGAAAAATCTGCAACTGAAACATTCGCTATGCTCAACCAGTGGGTGGGTGAAACGTCCCCCAGACCCAAAAAAGCTCGCCAACTTCAATCCAATGTCAAGGTGATGCTGACAGTTTTCTTTCATGCTAAGGGTATTGTTCACCATAAGTACAGTACCTCAATTGGACTCAATTGTATGTATAGTCTTGCAAGAAATATATTTTTTCTAAATGTGAATTTATCCTGGCAATTTTTAAAAATAAATTTTTATATCAAAGTCAAATTGATTTCCAATAAAAAACAAACAAATTTCATTAGTAAAATTTTGTAAAATGTTTAAACAAATACAAGTTTGTTTAAAGTTTTATTTATTATTTTGAAAATAGAATCATGTATATTCTTTTAATCTTCTATAAATATTGCCAGACAGCTATGATATAAGTTATCAGTCTACTGCTGTGAAAGATTTGAGTTTGAAGATGATGCAGATTCCCATAATTTATCATGTACTGTACAGTACAAATTAAAGTGTTGTTCCTTCTCAGCTTTGCTGGACAATACCTTTGTGATCAAACCATATAAAGATAAAATTGAATCTGATCATATAACCTTAATACAGTAGAATGTCATTTATCCGAAACGTCGGTTATTTGAAAGAATTCCAGTCAGCAAATTTAAATTTTCGCTAGTGCTGTGGCGCTGCAATCTTTGGCTATATCTTGGGCTACTCCAATATTTTTTTTGTTGGTGTGTGTGTTTTAGCTGGCAGCACTGGCACTTTTGTGTGGTGTTTTTCTGAGGACTGTGTGTTATGCTGAATCAAACATTTTTGATACTGGATCAACTTCTAAAGTATATTTTTTTGTTTTTATATTTTCCAATATATTTATTTTGTTTGTACAAAATAAAGAAATAATTTTTAACAATACAATAGCCATTATTATTATTTTAAAAAGTTTGCGTTAAGCTTAACATCGACGAAAATTCAACGTGAAGAGACACACAACAGAGAAAAATTTCAACATGGGATAGGTTAATATATTTTTCGTACATAATCGGTTATCCGAAAAATAAGTTATCCGAACAACCCCAGTCCCCAATTGATTCGGATAAACGATGCTCTACTGTATATTGGTGTCTCACATTGACAAATTAATCAATCTTTAATTATAAATAGTTCCATCCAAGTTAATATTAGCATAATTTCCTATAATATTTTCATACTGTATTCAAATCTTAAGCTAGGTTCACATTGGCATACGAGTCACTATAAAGATACAAACTGCTAGTTTGTTCTCTTTCAGTAATTGTTCGACTAGTTTGTTAGAAGTTAAAAATATCTCATCTTTTGACAAACTTTGGTCAGTTTAGCTTATCAACTTTTCACAACTAGTATTCAAAAACTCTTTAACCAATCATGTCCTAACTTAGTTTGTGTCAGGTAGAATAATGCAGATAATACTGTACTTCAGTTAGGGTTCATTTCATTCGTTTCAGTGGTCCGTATGACAGTGTAAACTGAGTTTTACACAATTATCTATTAAGTTCTTCAAAAATTTTTAATTTAAATTTACAACTAATAAGTCCATACTTTTTTACCAATAGGCTAATTAACTTGGAATAATTTTCATTATATAACATTTATTTATGTTTTCACAAGTTATTTCCACATTACTGACAATGCTCAAATTCCAAAATAAGATATTCAAGCTTCTCTGAGTACATAGAAAACACAATAAAATTCAACTGCATAGAACGGGGTTTTTTAAATTTCAAATTGAAAAAATATTAGATTTATACATTAATGCAAATTCAATCCTATAATGGTTGAAATTAATAACAATAATAATAATAATAATAATAATAATTAAAAAAATAGGATTGCGTATGCACACATTTATGTATAAATCTAATACGTTTTAGTTTTGAAATGTAAAAAAACTGTTCTAAGCAATCAAATTCATTCTTTCTATAAATTCTGAGGAAGCTCAAATGTAACAAGCATGCTTAATTAAATGTGTTATTTTAGAATTTGGGTATCAGTAATGTGAAAATAATTTGTGAAATGTACTTAACACCAACAAGTTTCAACACCAATTATGCTTATTAACCCTTCGGTGGGCGCGCCCGCGGCAAATTGCCGCAAAATAATAATAAAGTTATTTGTTTGACGTTGTACTTAATTATTGTGGAAATACGTCATAAGTATTCTCTCTTCATATTACAAGTTACAACTTGTCTGTGAAATCGAGTCAATTATGCTAACCGTTTAGCTGTTACTGGACTTTGAATCAAGTCGTACCTAATTTGAATTGTAACTGCCGCTACGCGCCCTGTCATGTAAGTAAAATATTAGTTTACTTTTATATATATTTTTTTTCAATCTCTTTAATAAAGTAGGTCAATATTTGCAAGTTTATTTAATAAATATATTAAATTAACAATGTCGTAAGTTTCTACGAAGTTTTAAATTTATATTAGTCTATAAGTGTTCCAATCAGCTTTTTCGTGAAATCTGTATTTTCTTGATGTTTTTAGGTCTCATAAACCTTTGAACCAGGAAGAGGTGGAAGGAGCTTTAGAACAAGCATTGAGAGAATTAATCGACGAAAGTGAAGAGTCAGAAGTTGACTATTACAGTGAAAGTGAGACAGAAGAGGAAATTATAGAAGTAAATTTCCATGATAGTGATTCTGAACAATCGGGGAATGAAATAGACAACTTTGTCATAGAAGAAAATTGTGAACTTGGGCAGACAGAAAAAGACAATTATAGATTTTATATAGGAAAAGATAAGGAAACTTTGTGGATCAGTAAATCTTTATATTTGGGTAAGACGAAAGCAAAAAATATTATAAAAATATTGCCAGGACCAAAACCTACCGCTAAAAGTACAAATAAAGAAATAGATGCATTTTACTTGCTTATTACTGATCAAATGATTAAAGGAATCGTAACAAATACTAACAGATATATCCAGAAAAAAAGGGCTGACGTCAAGTATGCAAGAGATAGAGACTGCAGAGATACAACCAAAACAGAAATAAAAGCCCTCTTTGGAACATTGTATTTGATCGGTATAAAAAAAGGAAGTCACACTAATTGCTGTGAGCTGTGGTCTTCTGATGGTACAGGAATGATGCTTTTACGGGGCCTTTTCAGTTATAAACGTTTTCGGTTTTTGCTTCGTGCACTTAGATTTGACAACATAGAAACCAGAGATGAACGAAAAATAACTGATAAGCTTGCACCAATTCGAGACTTTCACCAAGAGTTTGTCAACAATTGTATAGGCAGTTTTAATGTAAGTGAGTTTGTTACAATTGACGAGATGCTTCATCCTTTTAGAGGACGCTGCGGATTTGTACAATACATACCAAATAAGCCTGCGAAATACGGCATAAAAATATATGCTCTATGTGATGCTAAAACCTTTTATACTCTTAATTTTGAAATTTATTGTGGAAAGCAGATGCAAGGGCCCTATGAGAGATCAAACAAGGCTGATGATATAGTAAAGAGATTAGTCGTGCCAATAGAAAAAACAAAAAGAAATGTTACTACAGATAATTACTACAGTAGTTATCCTTTGGCTGTAGATTTATTGAACAAAGGGCTTACCTTTTTAGGAACAATGAAGAAAAACAAACAAGAGATACCTCCAGAATTTCTTCCAAACAAAACCAGACAAATAAATTCATGTCTATTTGGTTTTCAGTATGATTATTGTATTGCTTCAATAGTTCCAAAGAAAAATAAAGCTGTAATCTTTCTTTCAACCATGCATGACACTCCTGAAGTTGATCAGGAAACTAACAAAGCTGTGATAAATTTGGACTACAATGCTACTAAAGGTGGTGTAGACACTGTAGATCAGATGTGTTCATCCTACACTACATCCCGAATTACAAGAAGATGGCCACTAGCTCTCTTTTATCGTCATCTCGACATTGCTGGAATAAATTCTAATATTATATTTAAATTTAATAATCCCGATAACAATCAGAGAAGACGACATTTTATAAAAAATCTTGCCCTAAGTCTAATGGAAGAACATTTGAAAGAAAGATCGATGATGCTGACACTTCCTAAAGACATTCGCGCATTTTTAGATAAATATAAAGAAAACGAAAAGCCGCCCAAAGAAGTAGCAAAACCAGGAATTTGTTTTATTTGTGGTAAACACAAAAACAATAAAACAAAATCGATTTGTCAAAAATGTGAAAGACATGTTTGCAAAAAGCATAACATGTAATATAGTTATTATATGTGCCATGTGTGAAGCTGAACATCACATGGAAGTAGAGTGACTTCTTTTTATTATCTAAATATTTTATAACCAATTTGTTTATTAAAATGCCATAAAAATAGTTTTCTGGTATATCTGAATCATATTTTCAAAACGATAATTAATTATTGACTTAAATCAAGTAATATTACATATGCGGTGTAATTGCCGCGATGCGCCCTCTTGTGAGATCCTGAAAGGCATGTTCCCCAAAGGGTTAAAATTTACAGTAGAGCATCGATTATCCGATCAACCAAAAATGTCAATTAACCGAAAGCTTTCCAGTCGGCAAATTTAAATTTCCACTAGTGCTGTAGTGCTGTAATCTTTGGCTGTCTTGGGCTAATCCAATATTATTTTTGTTGGTTCAATGTTTTAGCTGGCAGCACTGGCACGACCATGAGAGGGTACTTAAGAATGTGCCAGGATTTGAACAAATTTCAACATGGAATAGGTTAATATACTTTATCGTACATAATCAGTTATCTAAAAAATCAATTTTTTGAACAACCCCAGTCCTCAATTGATTCGGATAATCGATGCTCTACTGTATTTATATACTCACAAAAATGGAATACAGTAATACCCCGAACTTACGCGATAGGTGGGATCGAGAGATAACCACATAAGTTGAATTCGCGTAAGTCGGAGTATAATTTCGCAATTTGTGTAAAATCCAAGTCGGATGTATGCAAGTTAATAAATGTTAATCTTTTGTTAAATGTTAATGTTAATGTTAAATCGTTAATCTTATCTCTTCTTTTGATTCGTTCACAGTTACAAGAAATCACCACATAGAGTCTCTCAAGTCTCCATAGATATAACAAATACAGAAATAAATAACACGAAATAAATTGTAGCTATGTGTCGATTCCGCGCGACACATCCAAACGTGTAAATTGAACAATAGTGTGGGGGGAGTGAATAATCAAGAGTTGCGTGACGCTCAAACAAAAGAAAAATCGACGAGATTTGAAAATCGCGTAACTCTGGGTTTGCATAAGTCGAGGTATTACTGTAATTATTTTTTCAAATGTTTCAATTCAGGAAATTCATTAAAATTAATTATTCATAAAACAAGAATTTAATATAAAATGAATTTCATTAAATATTCAAAACATACTTTCTTCTTGTTTCCCTCCATCTTTTAATATCTTCAGGAGTATCTAATTTCATAAAATAATGTGCAAGTCCAGTATAATGTTGCTACAATAAAAAAATAGTAAAATTGAAATTTATGAAATAAAAATTGTAATTTAACCCTTAAAACATTCTTACCAATTTTTTATGTAATTCTACCAACTTTGAATGAGCTTGAAAGAAACAACCATCAAAATCACACTAAAAACAATTAAATAATGAAAAATATTTGGAACAAATTTATCTTAAAATATAAAATGCAATCTAATACATCAACTCTTTATTCTTTAAATGCTTTCATAATTAATATATAAAAAAATCAATCAAAAAATATTTCTGATTATTTTAAACTGATATCTGTTTTAATGCATATTATTTACAACTTACCTTCACATGTTTTGCTAAATGTTGATTTAATTGCCATTGTTCTGAATACGCTCTCCCACAAGGATCACAACAAAACTGTTTACTTCCAATGTTCTGTAACAAAAATATTCAATGTTTCTGTCATGAGAGGACTGAGATTTTGAAAGAGACATTCACAGATAAATGTTTTAGTAATTTGAAGTTTCATGAAAATCAAATAAATAATTATTAACATTATTAAGTTAATAAGTAATATAAAACCTTCAACACTTTTTTCTAGCAATTTTCTTTAATCGAACTAACATTTTCGGCTATATTTAATGGTCGTCCTCAGGTTCAACAATATTTGGAACGTCAGATATTCAAAAATTTGTTTTCGTTATGATGACATGGTTTTTACAAAAAGTTTTTTCTTTTAACAAATTTCTTTTAAATTACAATCATTAAATATACATGGAAATAGAAAAAATTTTAACCACAATTAATTAATAAATGTAAATGGATAACAAATTAGAGTTATATGTTAATTTGTTTTTGTTCCTATGACGTGAATGTTTTACAAAATTATTAAAACAATTAATTAATAAATATGTAAATGGATAACGAATTTCAGAGAATGACTATTGCCGATAGGATTAAAATATTTATAAATTCGTAGGATTGCAATGTCATATATCACGTGAGATAGATGGGTTAGCCCACTTCCTTTACAGGGTTATTAATGAGTGATTGCCAGGCCTTAGATAGTGAGTCTGCAACTCTGCTGTTAATGCAATTTTCTTTGAGAGATTTTGCAAAGATTTCCAGTGTTTCTATTGTTCTTAGCTTGCTGTTATTGAGTATTATAATCTTAGCTTCTTCCCATTTAGCTGTTATACCTGGCTCACTTGCATATTGGACTAGAGTGGTACTAAACTTATTTTGCATATCATAGTTATGCTCCACTATCCTTTTTGCTAATGATCTGTTGGTTGAGCCTCTGTATGTTAACTTTTTGCTCCTATTATATCTGTTGTCATCCAGCAGTACCGAGTATATTCCAGGTTTTCTGGCTTCACTGCATTTATCTTTTGTATTGGCAAGAAGTTTATATATTGAAGGGTTATGTTTGTAAGATAAATCTGCTTTGACCTTCTTGGCTATGATTTTATAGGTTTGGCTCATTCTAGAGTAAAAATCAACTACTATGAATTTTCTTTGCTGTTCTATAGATCTGAAATTTATGGTTTCTGTTTCTAGGTTGCCTTGTATTTTGCAAGCTAGCCTTTCTATTAACTTACTGCTGTAACTGTGGGCTATGGCAATGTGTTTTATGCATTGTATTTCTTGTAATACGTCCTTGATGTTAGAGGAATGGGTAAAAGTTCTTCGAATCAGAGCCCTGTACACTGCTATTTTATAAATACAGTAGAACCTCGATTATCCGGACTAATTGGGGATGAAGGTAGTCCGGATAAGGAAAAATCCGGATAATCGAAACAAATACTTTAATTTGTCTTTTAATGATAATACAACACGTTTTCTTTTCGATGACATATCGGTAATATTAAAAGTAAATAC